GGAGGCAGGTGTGTGCCTTTGTCTTTTGATCTTTGTTCGACCGCATTGGAGGAAGATGCCCGTTGGCCTGCGGTTAACCAACCGGGTGAAAGTGGAGATGAGCTTTGTTTAGGCCACCTTTTCTAGGCCCCTCTCCGAGTGGAGCAAGCAGTGCTGTCCTTGGAAAGGCTGCTTGGTCATTCAGGGTGCTGCCCCAAGAGACTGTCATCTCCGGTCAGTCTCAAATGACCAATATCCTGAACCTCCTGCATGCAGGGTTGAGTCTGCGGCTCCCAGTGCATCTTTCACCTGCCGTTTCGACCTTCGCCCGTCGCTACAGGACTTTTTGCATGTGGGTAAAGCCTTCAAGCCTGCGCAATGGATTTTTTAGGTGAGATGCAGCCTGCGCAGAACTGAACCCACCCTTTAATCCTGAGGTTCACCTGCCAGGGCCGAGCAAGCTTGGACAGTGGCAGTGAGGTCCTCAGGATGTAGGTTTGATTAGAGGGACCTTCTCTTACATGGATGGCCTTACAGGGCTAAACGAGCTCCATTTGCCCAGGTTTGGGATTAGAGTTGTCCTTCTCCTAGGATGACTGCCAGAAGGCTAACGAGCTCATCCTGCCCACGGATGTATTGTATCTGACCCTGCTGCTTTGACCTGTCTGGCGTGGGCGACCCTACCGAAGGCATGTACCATCGCCAGCATAGCTCGCAACCACACAGGGGCACACAGGCTATGTTCCTCTGTGGGCTCCGAAGCTGCTCCCTCCTCCTCCATGGGTGCACAGCAACTGCCGGCAGGCTCCCCCACTGTCTCTCTTCGCCCCTGTGCTGTGGCCATGGCTGAATCCCAAACCGCACGCGCAGAGCTCACGCGCCGCCGCGGGGGCATTCCCGGGGGAAACCCAAGCCACCCCGGACCCCAGCACTCACATGCAGGCACTCCAGCACACACCAGCCATATGCCATGTGGGGAGGAACCCGGAAGTCTGGGACTCCCCCCCCGCGGCCCCCCCCGCCCCCCCCCGGCGGCCCAGGTGTAAAATACAACCAAGAAAAAAGCATTTCAGCACAAAGACCCATTCCACAGGAAACACCCACTAAAACAATCCATATACCAGCTTTAGTAAAACACAGTTCATTGGTTTTAAGTTACCCACAAGAGAAGGAAAAGAGAAGAGGAGAAGAGGAAGAAATGGTTACAGACTCACACGGTTCATGCTGCAGGAGAGACTAGAGGGAAGGAGAGAGAGAGAGGGAGACCACGTGGAGCCTCGTGTATTTATAGAGTTCAGTTTTCCCTCCCAGGCAGGATATCCCGTGGGTGCCTTCCAGGCCAGAGTGAGTTGTGCTGTAGCCAGTCACAGGCTGCAGGGCTGTGGGGTGGTCAGGCTACCAGGCAGGTCTGCCCTGACTGACAGCCCAGCTACCGGCCTTCAGCTCTGCCCTGTCTCTGTGTGGGCAGCGAGGCCTTCAGCTCTGCCCTGTCTCTGTGTGGGCAGCGAGGCCTTCAGCTCTGCCCTGTCTCTGTGTGGGCAGCAGGGCCTTCAGCTCTGCCCTGTCTCTGTGTGGGCAGCGAGGCCTTCAGCTCTGCCCTGTGCCCTCAGCACAGGCCTTATGCCCAGGCCTTACCATGTACCTGCAGGTCCAGGCCCAGCCTTTCCCCACATGCACACACACAGTGAGTTGGTTCCAACCCATATCAATAATTCAGTGAGATTCGGATCCAGGATCTCACACCTGGAGCAACAAAGCATATAAGAAAAAAGTCCAAGTGCAGAGGTTCTGCACAGTTTATTATCACTTTTAATAAAAGTGAGAATGAAGCTGTGACAATCTGATGCCCATGGGAAATACATAACATGGGTGAAAAGCTATCTGTGATGAGAAAAATCACTGCAGCCCAACTCGATGGCAGTTTTATGCCTCTTAACTGCTTCCAGAACCTGACAGTAATCACCAGTGTCATGAGGGAGGGGTCACATCTCCTCTTGCTTGTGGCAGAAATCCACTAAGCAGGAAACTGCCACTGCAAAGCACATCTGTCTTCTTGGTTATTTGGGGGTTTTAACAGCTTCTTTTGGCTACTTGTTAGTCCATCAGGGATAGGTATTTGCTGAGGTATGCTCACCTCTGAGTACAGGTTCCAGGGAAAATGCTCAGCTGGATGTGGGGCTCAGCAGAGGCTGGCTTCAGGGACTCATGCAGTGGCATCTTCCTTATTTGGGGAATGAACTCCAGAATAATTGAAACATCAAGTTTTCTATTTTTGAGCAGTTTTATGTTGTACATATATAGCCCCATCGAAGTCCTTCACAGATCTGTTCTTCCCTTTACATGCCCTTATTCATTGTTACTTATTTCAGACTTGAAATACATTTTTTTCCTGTTTCTTCTTTAAGCTTTTCACTATCTCTCCCCTACTCCTCTTTTCCTCACAGCATGTGTCCTACTCAACTTTCATTGCCTGTTTAAAAGTAGGACAATGAGAAACATCCTCCAGCCTTTCCCTGTCTCCCCTCCTAGTGCAGCTGAGGTTATTAAGTCATTGTTAGCAGTCCATTCAGCCTCAGCAACAGTGCTGAAACAGTGCTGAAAAGAGATGAAGTTCAGTGCTGGAGAACTTCCTTGGGTCAATCCTGAGAGCATCCTGAGAGCACTTCTGCAAGTCTGAGAGTGACCCGTGATCTTGGAGGAGTCTGCTGTGTTTGCTGCTGTAGTTTATGTAACTGGGTTGGTTTACATTTAAAAATCTAGAGAAATAGGGGAAAGCTAGTTAAATAGAAAAGTACAATAGAGCCTGTCAATGATATTTAGTAGCTGGGAGAGGTTCTTGTTGCTCTTTCATTAATTATATATTGCCTCAATTGTATACTACCCAATTTCAAACAGTGTGCAAGTAAACTGTGGTTCAAGTTAGTCCTTCAAGGTTCCATGGTTTCTTTGTTAGTTGTTGGTCTTCTCATAATTTGTAGCTCCATAGGAGGCTGGCTGTGACTTTGACCTGGGTGTGCATTGCTAACAAACACCAGTTTTGCCATCATGAGGTCCAGAGTAAAGCCAAATCCTCCATTGTGCAGTCTGTGATAACTTCAATGTGCTTGTCTGTACTGGAAATTGTTCTGGAAAAAGTCACTAATGATGTATTAGATTTCTGTAATCTTCCAAAGCTATTCCTGTGTTTTGTGAAGTTGATGAATTGTGCCAACAGGCTCACAGAGGGCTGGGAGTCACTAGCTCTGAAAGGGGAAGAATATGTGGGGTCCTCCTGCTTCTCTTCATAAATTGTCCACAGGTCCTTCAATCCACTACGCCCTACCATTGTCAGCAAGCAGGGAGACGTTGGTAGAAATAAAAAAGCAGTACCTTCTCATGAATTAGAAGAATTGAAGTAAGGGGGGAATTTGAAGGAATTATAGCTGCTTTTGTTATGGCAGGACAATTGATATGTCAGGAAAAGGTTTAATCTGCCAATTACTTCCCTGCACTTACACAGCAAGGAAGTGGCAAACTGATGAACTGAGCTCTTTATTCCCAGCTCCCTGGGCAGCACTAATAGAAAAGCATCTGCATTATCCAAACTACCTAAAGAGGTATTTGTGGTTCACCTATCCTTAAACTGAATGCACCTCTAGTGACAAAAGTAATAAGTGGTAATTAGCGAAGACTTTAAAAAAAGTAATCCTAGCTGGCGAATAACTGCTGAGAAACAACGGTGTGATATGAAGTACATTTAGTTTGCAGGCAGTGGGGTCAGGGTGGAATTGTAGTGATGCAAATGGGCAGGACCTGAGCTCATTGGCACCAAATGGCTGTTAGTTTAGCTGGAGATTCTACTTTAGAGGGGTCTCTAAATCATCAATTACCTAAATACCAGACTTTCTAATTTACAGCATAATTTTTTTGAAATTATAGTCAGCAGTTATCAAAAAGTAGGTTTTTTTTCTCCACACAATTTGCAGATGGCACAAATTACTTGGGACTAGTCAGATCCAGAGAAGTCTGAGAAACACAGAAGGGGCTTAATCACCTATGGTGAACAGGACAGAGACATGACCGGTGACCAAGGCAAGCTGATAAAAAACCTGCAATTTAAGCAGTAAATATCATTGCTTGGGACTAGGTAAGTTAAAATCACTCATGAGAAAGGCCTAGTTTTCATTTTGGTGTGAATAACTTTAAATCAAAGCAATAAAACCCACTGACTTTATGCACACACAAAGAGATCATATTGGATAAATATGTATACAATAGTACAATCATATTCTTGATGCTATAGCCATCTGTAATGCTGTGAGTGGTCTTAATATGCCACTTCTACAACACAACAGAAGTAGAAGGGCTTCAGAGATCTGTGGTGGAAATAGATTTATGGTCAATAGCTGTGTTAGAAGACTGGTCAGGACTGCTGAGCGTCAGAAGATCCATAAACAGAACTGTTCTAGAGATATTTGAAATAATGAACTGTACAAGGAGAATCCATCATATGTTCCTATTTATTCTTTATTATAGCATAATAGCAAAGGAATAGTCGATCAAAATTACAAAAAATTAATATTAAGGGTTTTAAACCAGGCTAATCATAGAATACTACCAGGGCTTTCTTGAAGGTGTGTGTACTGAGAATATGTCATGCTGCATTTGTTTTAACAAATCCTCCTGTTCAAAAGTGTAAATCTGTTCCAAATAGCTTGATTATGGGAAAAGCTTCTGCTATGGGGAATGTTATTCTCCAATTTGCTGTGATTTTTGCACCTTTGTGTGATGTACTATTTTCCCCCAACCAATTTTAAGAGCTGATCATAGATTACATAAATCATTTATATGATTAATCATAGCAATCCTTTTATTACCTTTTTATTACATGTTATTTTGATTGATCTTTATAAAGTTCCTACTTAACCTTGTCTGTATATAACTAGAAAAGTGTTCTTCCAGTTGCTGTTATATAAAATCTGTTGTTCAGTGACTACAGTAGAAGACCAGAGTCTAGTCTGTGCAATTTATTTCACATCTGATTCTAGTCAAAATCACTTGGTCCCTTAAGCTACCCTCTCTGAGGGTAACAGTATGTATTTTGCAGCAAATTTACGAATGTTTGGGAAGCATCAATCCAAAAGCTGAGACAGATATGCTGTCTCGGTTTAACGAGAGAGAAATGTTCCATCAGGAGGGCAGGATATGGGAAAAACAACCAAGCTCCTCCCTCCGAGTAATTACAGCTTTGAAATTAAGGGGCTCCAGTCGAAAGGTGTGGAAAGGAAAAATAACAGGTCTTTACTAAAGAATATATATATGCACACATATATAGGCAACACAACGAACAAACAAGCAACAATCCCATTTCCCAACTTTCACTGAAAACAATTAAAACAATTAAGCCCTTTTTGCCTTTCGGCGTAGTTACAACCACAGCCAGCAGGGGGCGCTGGCGCCTCGGGAGGCGGAGCTGCAGTGTCGCTCCATGGCCGGCAGGGGGCGCTACGGATCCAGCCCCCGGCCTGCGCGGTGGCTCCGAGGGGCCGAGTGTCGGTCTGTCCGTCTGTGCGTCTGTCCGTCTGTCTGTCTATCCAGCCAAGAGCAGCAAGAGCCACGGAAAAAAAGGAAAACTCACACGATGCTGGCAGTCTCCGTGACAGCAGAGGTATCGCGCAGCCCCTCTACCAGTGGCACTGCAGGGACTTTTTCACTGGAGAACGAACCGGAGGAGGAGGCGCGGGCCGCTGCCAGCACGGGAAGGGAGGAAAGGAGGAAGGGTCATTTACTCCTGTGGACTCACACTGTTAAAGGCAGGCTCTGGCCACGGCCCTCTCTTTTGCCGATGGGAGTAAGCTGGTGCCAACACGGAGAAAGATGGAGGAAAAAAACAGGTGCTGGCAAGGACTCTCCTCCCGACGACCTCCACTGGACCAGCAATCCCACCAAAACTCAAGCACCTCCTAGCCAAAAACAACCAGCCCTCCCCCCCAGGCCCTTTCCCTCTCTCTCTGCAACTGCGACTTCTGCAAAAATACGGCGAAAATCTTCCTTCCCCCTTGCCTTGGGGAGAGGAAAACAAAAGAGCGCTGCTGCTTTCAAAGAGGGGTCATTAGCACGCATAGGACAGTCATTAAGGTCTAAGCCGAGCAAACAGTAAAACCTGAAGACTCACCCCCACTCCAGCCAAGGGGTTGGTGTGAAAAAATTCATCAGAAGATAATGAAAAAAAAAAAGGAAATTATATACAGCATGGTTTTAGACTGTAGAATTCTGTAGAAATAATAATAAAAAAAATCGAATCCTGCTGTTTATTTGGCATTGGCTTGGGTTTTTCTCATTGCTCCAGAAGTGACACAAATAAAATGTGTAATAAACTCTTGATTAATATTTCTGTCTCTTGTTAAGAGTTGATGATCCTCTATTTCTGTACTAACTAACCTGAATAACCTTTCTTTGGTTTAAGTCCCGGAACCATTTCTCTCATTAGCTCAATACTACAGTAAAGAATGAGTATTGCTGTAGGTAATGGGCCCAGTAAACTGTTGAGGAAAGCTCTATCTTTTATTTAAATCAGTTCTTATTATGGAGAATGCACACAGAAGTATTTGGGTCCACAGAATTTGCCTTCCATGAGACATCTGTAGTCAGCTCTTCAGTCAGTCACTTGTGATGATTTGAATGTTTAAGAAACAGGAGAGCGTTGATTTGGTTTAATTAATTGTAAACCATAATACTAGGTCAGTATGTGGCTTCCAAACTGGATCATTTGATGGATGGACTTGGTGCTCTGCATGTCAGGCAACTAGCAGCACTCTCCTTGAAATGTTAGCACAGCATGGGCCCAACATGTGCCCAGCATAAAGAATCCCTGTTCTTGGGGCAGCAATGAGCAACTGAAGAATGTTCCAAATGTCTGAGAAGTTTTGGAAAATGAGAGAGGAAAAGCAACATCCAAACAGAACTGCTGGCATCAAGGTGATCCCAAAGCAGCCTGAAGGTTCTGAATGGGAAAATTCTCGTTCAACATTCCCTCCAAGCCTGTTTGAAAACCGTTTCAACCTCAGGAAAAGCATGATTTGGCTTTGGCAGCATTGGATAGACTGTCGAATGAATTCTGAGCTTCTGGCATGCATGGGGGCTTCAAACAGTGAATGCTCTGGGGACTGAAGTTGCATGGTTTTTTTGCAGTTGCTCGTATCAGGAACACCTAAGGCATCAAAAATGTTGGACTTGGCATAAATTGCAGTAACACAAATAATAGAACTAACACTTTTCCATGTCCTTCGCCCTGCCTCTTGCTAAGGTGTTGCTGCAGGGCTTTAGTAGCTGCAGAGGTGTGACATTAGCAGTGAGAGAACATAGAATTGCAAGGCACACCTTTAGGGAGCCAAGTGCTTTGAGTTTCATTGCTCCTCATAGCATCATTTTTTAATTTATTTTTTTTTAGTGGTAATTGGTTTCAGGAGGTTTGTGCATTGCTGGGAAGAAACTTTGTGATCAGGTGTATCTGCAAGTAAATAATGTGCCTGGGAACGAGTGGGTGAGGTGGGCTCTTTCTTTCTGTGTGCTCTTGGATCTGTTAACAGAGAAAACAGCAGAGAGTCCACCAAACAGCCAGTAAATCTGACAAACATCCCTTCTATAGACAGGAAAGAACCTTGTTATTTTTGTGGTTTATCCAAACTTAATGTGATGGGCAGTGGGTTTTTGTCGATTTGGGTTTTTTTGTGTAGTGGTGTTTGGTTTTTTAATGGAAATAGGACATGATAAACCAAGGAATTATCTGAATGTTTTCAGGTCTGCCTGTTCACATGTTACTGCTTCAAATTCTCCTCAACTTGTCTGGGAGAGATTTGACAGTACAGTGATTTCAGTTCCTTGATAGTTTTAAAGCTGAATGTGTTAATCTGGGAAATATGAACCATAACGTGGCATCACAGTAATACATCCAGGGCAATGAAAACCTGATGTGGCAGATGCTACAGAGCACAAAAAAGTCCTTTGGCCCAAAGTACTCATCAGGAGAAATGGTTTTGATATTATGCCATTGAGCTCCGGAGGGGTAGATGCCAATGACAGAGAATCCTCATGAATAACACATTTCCTAGTGTGATTTGGCCACCTGCATACAGAAACAAAGCTCAAATTCAACTAAAGTGTTCATTGCTTCTTGACTTGATCACTCAAGTGTGTATGAGTACTCTGCACCTCCAACCTGGCTTTAATATGGGCTTCTCTCAGCAATTCAAGTGCATTATTTAGTTAATGTGATACACAAAATCCCATTGAGATTCTGCACCTGCTGTTAGTGATCAGCAGCAGTTTAAGGCAGAGGCAGCACCAGCAGAAGCTGTGGAGCAGTGTGGAGGGTGAAAGCCAGCCTGCCCTGCTCCCTGGGGACTGCGGGGAGAGGGAGTTACTGCCTGCCTGGAGATGGGCGGAGTGAGGGGAAAACGAGACAGCCTCTGAGTCCTGTAAAATTAAAGGCATGGATGATGTCTGTTCTTCTGAACATCCCACATGGGAATACCAGTATTTAATAGCGTGCTTGAAAAAAACAGCTTTTACTGGTGTTGCAATACTGCATCTGCCATCCTCATAAAACGCTCAACCTGCCAAGTGTTTTCTCATCTGTGGTGATAATGGGGAAATACATAATTGACTTGTGAGGAGCCAGCAGTGTTGCCCATGCCAGCAGCCTGGTGAAGCCTGCAAGGGGGGCTTGTTCCAGCCAGCAGTGGCCCACTCCAGTGGTGGGTACTTGTGAAATGCCAGTGGGTGCACTGCTTGCTGTCCAGCAGACAACCCAGGGGAACTGTGGGCAGCTGTTGCTTACAGAAAGAATTACTCTGGAGGTCCTGGGCTCTGTGTGGGCACACACATGGATGTGGGAAGCATGCTTGTGTATGTCCCAGCATGTCATGGGCGAGGCATTTAGAAAAGGAAAGCCCTTTCCTCCCCTACAATGTCCCATATTCTCTTATGCAGTACAGAAGAGGCATTGACAAAAAGCACCTGCATTGGCAGAATTACTGAGAAAATCTCAGATGTAGAAGTTGACTGGTATCACAGGTATTTAAAAAAAAATAAAATTGTGTGAGATGTTGCTGAGGTTAGCAGCACAGTGCTCAGTTGTTCAGGGGC